CCTTCATGTTATTCTCCCAGGGGATCCTGCCCATCAGTTCCCTGAGGGAGTCAAAGTCTGCTTTTCTGAAGTCCAGGGTCCGTATTCTGCTGCTCTCCTTTCTTCCTTGTGTCAGGATCCTGAACTCGACCATCTCATGGTCACTGCCCCCCAGGTTCCCATCCACTTTTGCTTCCCCTACTAATTCTTCCCTGTTTGTGAGCAGCAGGTCAAGAAAAGCTCTGCTCCTAGTTCGTTCCTCCAGCACTTGCACCAGGAAATTGTCCCCTATACTTTCCGAAAACTTCCTGGATTGTCTGTGCACCGCTGTATTGCTCTCCCAGCAGATATCAGGGTGTTTAAAGTCTCCCATGAGAACCAGGGCCTGCGATCTAGCAACTTCTGTTAGTTGCCAGAAGAAAGCCTCGTCCACCTCATCCCCCTGGTCTGGTGGTCTATAGCAGACTCCGACCACGACATCACCCTGGTTGCTCACACTTCTCAACTTTATCCAGAGACTCTCAGGTTTTTCTGCAGTTTCATACCAGAGCTCTGAGCAGTCATACTGCTCTCTTACATACAATGCAACTCCCCCACCTTTTCTGCCCTGCCTGTCCTTCCTGAACAGTTTATATCCAACCATGATAGTACTCCAGTCATGTGAGTTATCCCACCAAGTCTCTGTTATTCCAATTGCATCATAGTTCCCTGACTGTGCCAGGACTTCCAGTTCTCCCTGCTTGTTTCCCAGGCTTCTTGCATTTGTGTGTAGGCACTTAAGATAACTCATCTATCGTCCCTCTTTCTCAATATGAGACAGGAGTCCTCCCCTCTTATGCTCTCCTGCTCGTGCTTCCTCGCAGGATCCCATTTCCCCACTTACCTCGGGGCTTTGGTCTCCTTCCCCCGGTGAACCTAGTTTAAAGCCCTCCTCACTAGGTTAGCCAGCCTGCTCTTCCCTCTCTTTGTTAGGTGGAGCCCGTCTTTGCCTAGCACTCCTCCTTCTTGGAACACCATCCCATGGCTGAAGAATCCAAAGCCTTCTCTGCGACACCACCTGCGTAGCCATTCGTTGACTTCCAAGATTTGATGGTCTCTACCCAGGCTTTTTCCTTCTACAGGGAGGATGGACGAGAACACCACTTGCGCCTCAAACTCCTTTATCCTTCTTCCCAGAGCCACGTAGTCTGCAGTGATCCGCTCAAGGTCATTCTTGGCAGTATTATTGGTTCCCACGTGGAGAAGCAGGAAGGGGTAGCGATCCGAGGGCTTGATGAGTCTCGGCAGTCTCTCTGTCACATCGTGTATCCTAGCTCCTGGCAAGCAGCAGACCTCTCGGTTTTCCCGGTCGGGGCGGCAGATAGATGACTCAGTCCCCCTGAGGAGGTAGTCCCTGACCACCACCACCCTCCTCCTCCTCTTGGGATCCCTAGGACAGAGCATCTTTTGCCTTCCAATCGGTGGAGTCTCCTTCTGCTCCCTTCCCTCAGATGTGTCATCTAGTCCACTCTCCGCATTAGTACCTGTAGAGAGAACATGGAAACGATTGCTCACCTGTATCTCCATTGCTGGTACATGGACGCTTCTCTTTCTCCTTCTGGAGGTCACATGCTGCCAAGCTTCTTCACCATCCTTCTGTCCCTGCTGCGACTGCTCTGAATTTTCAGAACGTTGTGGACATAGAATAATCTCCTGACGTCTGTCCAAGAAATCTTCATTTTCCCTTATGCAACGCAGAGTCGATACTTGTTTCTCCAGACCTCGAACCTTCTCTTCCAATATGGAGACCAGCTTGCACTTTGTAGAGACAAAGTTGCTTCTGTCCTGTGGAAGAAAGACAAACATGGCACAACCTGTGCAGGTTACAACAGCTGATCGCTCACCTTCCATATCACCTTCCTCTTAAGAGCTTCCTTAGCTGTTGCAGTAACTACTCAGAGAAACCCACAGATGAAAGCCTCAGTGAGCTCTCCCCAGGCGAACTCCCTCTGTTAGCCTCTGCTGTTCACCGCTCAGCTGGTTTGCTACTGACTGCCCTTATATACCAGTCAGGCCCACTCAAGGCCCACCTGGAACAAAGCATTCCCAATTCACACTTTTCAAACAAACAAGCAAGCAATCAAGCACACGGTCAAACTGACAAACTGTCCCAGCAACAGACACTCAGATACTCACCAACACAGCCCCCATAATGCAGCACTTAGCGTACCTCCTCTTGGACAGATCCCAGGCAAACTCCCTCTGTTAGCCTCTGCTGTTCGCCGCTCCAACATTAATGTACTTTAAACAAAATGGAGTAAATTCTCTAAGCAGTGCACTAGAGTTTTATCATAATTCCCATAAATGGCTCAAGAAATTGAGAGGCCAAATCCCCATGTACCATTTTGAAAATTTAGGCCCCAATCCTACAAACATGTATGCACATGAGTAACTTTGCTCATGTGAAAAGTACCATGCAATTTTAGGGGCTAATCTGATCAAAGCTGGGCTTCTTAAAGAGATACCAACATTCTTGAATGTATCTACAGGGTACATGTATTAAATAATATCCGAAATGTCAAAGTGCATTTGGAATGGTAGTTTTAAACAAAATGTTTGATTCAGATTACGTAAAACAAATTCAAAAGCTTCCCTTTATTTGCACAATATCTGTGTTCATAAAAGCAGCCTTATCCCTTATGTGGAAATTTAGAGCTGTATATCTATAATGTACTGTATGGAATTGTTTTCCATTTCTAATTATATTGTTCCTTGTTCTTTTAAAACAGATGCTTAAATGTTTGAGCCAAGTTTTATGTTTTATCCAGTTAAATATGCAAGTGTTTCTGTCTGCAATTTTAGGGTTATTACACCCACGTTCCTAACACTTTTACATGTAATAATACTATTCAAAACCTGATACATGTCGATTTACAAATTAATATATTTTTAGATATTATAATTAGATATTAGTTCTTGATATTAATGGTTTGTCTAGTACAACACTGCCATCCCATGATGGGCATGCACACATCATATCTAAGTACTGAGTATTCCAATATGCTAACACTGTATTTTGATTTTCTTTAGGAAGTGCTATTAGGCCCATAGCCCTGCGAGCAGTATCTGCTATAGCTCATGCTCTTCCAGGATTTCCCATCTTAGCAACTGGAGGAATTGATTCAGCTGAGAGTGGGCTGCAGTTTCTCCACAGTGGTGCTTCTGTTCTACAGGTATTTGGTTTTTTCCTTTAAAAATTATAATTCGTAATTTATCACAGAACTGTAATTTATCTTAAAACTAAAGATTTCACCTCAAAGAAGGAAAAAGGACACATTAACATCATTGATCCATTGGGACAAATGTTTATATTGTTCTCTCCATGCTCGTTGCTAGGAGCCATTCACTTAAGATGTTCAGTGATGGAGTGGATGCCCCATAACCTATTGTGCTGACCCGGGAAAAGGCTAGCTTTTTAAGAGTGAAGTAGCACCTTTTCCTCTAACCTAGAAAGTTTCCAAATTAAATCACTTTCCCTTGTTAAGCAAATGAAGTTAATACATTTGTGCTTCCCAATACATCCTGTGTTTTCAGTTTCTGTCTTGCCCAGCATAAGCTATTTGGAACAGGGACTTTTCATCCTGTGTCTTATTGAGCACTGAAGGGAATTCCAAATGGCTTTATTTTTGGTCCCATGTGCATTCAGTTTGAAATAGCTGTTCTTCATCCAGGCACCAGTCTCCCTCAAGCACTTGTTTTGAGTGATGAAAAATGCAGAGCTGTGCATCCTTTACATGTTGTTGGCATCACAGTCATGGCTAAGGAATGGGATGTTAGATAGTTTGCAGTAGTTGGTTGCATTGGCTGATGTTTTCTTAAGCACTAGGCAGACTTTAGTATGAGTAATAGATTTTCTCATTAACAGGGGGTGTTGGTAGTATGGGTCCTAGAAGATCCATTGGCACTTCAGCCTTTTGCCTGCACTGAGCAGCTGTCTGTGGATAGTAGGTGATCATAGCATTTCTTTCACCAGGACATAAACCCCATGGTGTTAGGGTGGAGACTAATCTTCTATGCTGTGTATCTTTGGAAGCCTGCAGGATCGATAAGTAATCAGGGAAGGAACACATAATGTACGTTGCATCTAAATGAAGGGGGAAACTTATGTTTGGAGGAGGTGATAGTCAGTCTACAGCAGGGGTGGGCAAACTTTTTGGCCCGAGGGCCACATCGGGAATAGAAATTGTATGGCAGGCCATGAATGCTCACAAAATTGAGGTTGGGGTGCAGGATGGGGTTTGGGCTCTGGGGTGGGACTGTGGATAAGAGGTTTGGGGTGCAGGAGGGTGCTCCAGGCTGGGATCGAGGGGTTTGGAGAGCGGGAGGGGGATCAGGGATGGGGCAGGGGTGTGGGGAGAGGCTCAGGGGATGCAGGCTCCGAGCAGTGCTTACCTCAAGCGGCTCCCAGAAGCAGGGGCAAGTCCCTTCTCTGGCTCCTATGCGGAGGCGCAGCCAGGCGGCTCTGCACACTGTCCCATCCGCAGGCACCGCCCCTGCAGCTCCCATTAGAGCAGGTAGGAGCCAGAGCGGGGTCAAGCTGCAGCTTCTGGGAGCCACTTGGTGCAGCCCCTGACCCAGAGCCTCGGACGGAGCGCTGGAGCACCAGAGCAGGGCCGAGCCGCGTGGTCTGCCCCGCAACCCAGCACCCGGCCGGAGCACTGCAGCGGGACCGAGCCGCATGGTGCAGCTTGCAGGCCGTAGTTTGCCCACCCCTGGTCTACAACATGACAATGGTGCCTTCATTCCCAATAAAAAGAACAGTACTTGTGGCACCTTAGAGACTAACAAATTTATTAGAGCATAAGCTTTCGTGGACTACAGCCCACTTCTTCGGATGCATATAGAATGGAACACATATTGAGGAGATATATATACACACATACAAATATATATCTCCTCAATATATGTTCCATTCTGTATGCATCCGAAGAAGTGGGCTGTAGTCCACGAAAGCTTATGCTCTAATAAATTTGTTAGTCTCTAAGGTGCCACAAGTACTTCTGTTCTTTTTGCGGATACAGACTAACACGGCTGCTACTCTGAAACCTTTCATTCCCAATACTTCCTTTGGCACTGAAAATTAGATCCAGTGTGTGGCTGGCCTTACTGGACAGCTGCAATGATGGCAAAGGCCAGTCCCAGGTTTGCTGTGGTGAAGAAAAAATCCTGGGCAGATTTATTGGTGAGGTTATTTGCATAAGCCCTGAAGAGTCACGCAGTACTAGGAGTTTGTGGGATCTCTAATAGCAGGTCTGACACTACAGTTACTATTGAAAGCTATCAGGGTAGTTGGCAAATTGAATACCCCTGGGATCCCAAACTACTGTTTGTCTGCTAGCCCCAGAAACAAGTAAGTGCAGTGAAACGTTCTGGATTTAAGGGGAGATAGTGGTGAAACCTGTAACCTTTTGGGGGAAGAAGCAGCAATAGGAGGCTCACATGCCCTGACAGCCAGTCCTGAACTCTCTGTATTGGTATCAAACAGGCAGAAGAGTACATGAGGTTATCCTGTAAGTTGTTTTGTTTATCTGCTTTACTAATAGTGCTTATTAATTTTTAAAACTTCTATTAGGTTATTTCAATATCTCCTTTTATGGTAAAGGGATCATGGAGCTACTTTGTCTGGGTAACAGTCTCAGTGCTACTTCAGTTCTGTGTCTCTTAAACACACACACACACACACCAATCGTATGATGCTACTTCTAGTACAATATTTGTCTACAACAAAAGTATGATCAACAAGGGAGTGTTTTCAGAACTACACATTCATTTAATTTATGGCCGCTAATTAGAACTGAACCTAGACCAAAATGTAGAGCTATGCACTTTTCCTTAATACAGATTGTGTATGTGTGTGGGGGGGGGCGGGGTTTCTCGTGTGTAGACATGTCCCTGAAGATAATGGTGAATTCTAAAATGTAACTAAATACAGAGAGAGTGGAATGGGTATTGTTTCTGGAGTGGCTAATTAAATAATCACTTGCTGAACCTAGAAAACTCAGAATAATTTTTCAATACTAATTAAGTATTGGCTGATTAAAGTGGTTCATGTTCAGTGTGGAGCTCTGTGCATGGAACACTGGGCTGGACACCTCCTTTAGAGAACATTGAAAGGCTCATCTATTTCCAGCATCATTTCCTCAACAGAGAAAATGACGAGCCCTGTTTTCCCCTCTTAGGGTTTCTTTATACCAGCAAGTTGTGCTGGTTTAACTTAAATCATTTTTAAAACTGATTTAGATAAATGGGTGCAAAACCCTGTGTAGACACTTATTTTGGTTTAAGAGTGACTTATTTCAGCCTAGCTGAAGTCAGTGAGGAATAGATATAAGATAAATGGGTATAATCTGTTCTTAAACCAAAATGATATTGACCGTAGATCTTTCCCTTGTCTAAGGGAAGAAGTAGAAGAGGGTGGGAAAAACATAAAACCTTCAGCAGAGGATGGTGCAGAAAATATCTGATCAGAACAACAGTGACGCTCATATTTGATATCTAGATGGAATGAGATATAACCAAAACTGCAACTCCAGACCACATCCAGCCCTGCTTCCCCCACACCCAAGGTCCCCAGAAGGGAATTGCCAGCACAGTCCAGAATTGGCAGGAACACGCAGACCAGGCACCTTTGCTCCAATGGCAGTGGCATAAGCTTCCCCTGCGCCACAACTCCCTGTAAGGTGGGCTGTCAGGACCTCATCTCAGCATGGTCAGCCCTTGGATGCTGGCACCTACAGCAGGGACCAGCCTCTCTGCAGTCAGACCTATGTGCCTCTGCTCCCCACCAACATGGAGAACAGCCTAGAAAATGAAAATGGCACCCCTGCGTGGCCAGTTCCAATGGCACTCATTGAAATTTGGCCCAGTCATCTCTTCATCATGGATGCTCTTTCAGTGTTTAGAAGTGCATTTGATCTAGCCTCTCTTTTGGGAGGAGGAGCACAAAATTTTCATATGTATAATTTCAAGATTGCTTATACAATAAAGGAAGTTTATAATGGATCCAGATCAATTTAACTATTTGTAACTTTAGCACCCATGTGGCCAAGATGGAGTTTACTCTTCAGGCAGCTCTGGCCAAGAAAAGGGGTGCTCAGTAATGCAGCAGGGAAAAACCTGTTCCAAGCCCCCTGGAGTGATCACACATGCACACCAGGACAGTACAATGAATACAGGGAAGGGAAATATTTATTTACAGAAGATGAATGGAGAAAAAACAACAAGGTGGCAGAGTGGGGGAATGGTAAAATGGGATCACACTCAACATGAGGCCCCCAGGCCCAGTGGTACCACCGTATGAAAGGGCAGACTCTGAGCAGTGCGTCTCCACTCAGGCTATGTCTACACTGCAGCTGGGATCGACGCTCTGAGATCAATCCACTGGCGGTTGATTTAGTATGTCTAGTGAAGACCCACCAAATCGACAGCAGATCGCTCTCCAGTCAACCCCTGTACTCTAACCCTGACAAGAAGAGTTTCTCCCATCGACGCCCCACGGTAACTTGACCTAAGATACGTCGACTCCAGCTACGTTATTCACATAGCTGGAGTTGCGTAGCATAGGTTGACTTACTGCGGTAGTGTGGACATAACTTCAGTATTCAGGAGTCCCGGGCAGAGTTCCAGTCTGGCAGTGAGACTTGGGTGCTCCTGGTCATCTTCAGCACCCCAGTAAACTTTCAACAACAAACCCCTCCGGTGCCCAATTCTGTCACTCTCTGCAAACCCGCACAGAGCGACAACCTCCCCACTTACCTAGCTACAGCCTCTCTCCTTATTCCCAATTCAAGTTCACAAGCTACTCATGGCCCCATACATCCCTGGGCAACAGTGATACTGTGTCCAGCTCCGGTTTCTCCTTCTTGGGTGATTCCTCCCTAACACAATGCTCCTCCTGGTTCCTGTCCTGGGGTGTCCCCGGTCGGCTGCTCTGTCCCTCCCAGGCTTCCGGCAGATTCTCGGCTACTTCACTGGGTGAGGGCCTGCTTGTGTAACGCGGACAGACCCCGGTGGACGGGATTGAACCGGGGACCTCTGGAGCTTAGTGCATGAGTCTCTATAGCATGAGCTAAAAGCCAACTGGCTGTTAGCTAGGGCTGTAGAGCAGACTCATTTTATCTCTCTGTCTCTCTCTCTCTCTAAGTGGTCTCAGTGCCACTAGATGGGACCGAAC